CCTATAATTACACCTAGATTTACAGAGCCAAGCTTTACCTCATGAGACCCCGCCCCCAAGTCTAAACTACTGCCCTACCCCCTGTTCCTTACCTCAAAGACCCCAGGGTCTGCCCCAGTGAGAGACTCCTTAGCACACAGTCCCTCCCAGTATTATCTACCTAGCTACACTGTCACTGAGTGACTCCTGAAGGGTTTACATAAAGGAAGCGGGAAGAACAATCACATTCAGGATGATGGGTAATGAGGGACAAGACAAAAGGAATCTCAGTGACTGTCCACGCCAACTGTACTCTAAATTTGGGAATTACATAAAACCTACAACAGCCACAGAACAGTGAGATTACTGAAAATGTTACCAAAAGTAGGAGAGAGGAGAAAAGATAGCTGGAAAGATCAACTTGTTCTCCAATTATAGAGCTGAAAAGGTTTACTCAATACAATATCTAAAGACCAAAATAATGATGGTGATGATGATAATAATGCAGCAAAGGTATCTGCACCACTCTGCTTTTGATAAATGTCAAGTACAAATAGTTCATACATAATTCACATTTAGACAAAGGGAAACAGGAAAAATAACCATGAGTCAGGTGGCAAAAATATATTAAGAGAAACAAAATATCCAGCAGACTTATTAGGGGATAAAACAACAAAATGCCCCCAGAGTAGGAGCATAAAGCCTCAATTAAGGAACAGGACAGGGAAAAAAAAGGCAGAGAAGTGGAATGAGAAGAGGAAAGTGGTAAGAAAATTTAAATTACAATAGTGCAATTGAACACTTTGACTCTTACATGAAAAATAAACTACAAATCATCACATGAACTTGAGAAACTCACTAAAGCGCACTATAATCAAGACCAGGTACATTTCAAGGGCAACAGTTTTCGATAGCTACTATATTGGCCAGCACAGGTGTAGAGTGATTTCGTCTAGTGCCAGGTCACATAGCTAGTTAGCAGAGCCAAGATGCAACTTTAGGTCCTTCTTACCACAATGCCCGTATTTTTTCCCTCTGAAGAAACTATCATAGGTAAACATATAACTGAGCCTCAAGCAGTCAATTCAAAGTAACAAAATTTTGACTGGAAAATGAAACTCTTCCAGCTATCCAAATAAATGTTTAAGTCCACCTATAAGCAAACACACACACACACACACACACACACACACACACACACACAGCCCATTTATACAATGGCATTAAACAAAACATGTCACCTTTAAAAATGAAAGAAATAAGTAAATTTTAATTGCCAGGATGACACTTTATGTATATCAGTGTATAACAACATTCATGTATAGAAACCTAGAAGTTATTCTAGACTCCCACTTCTACCTTCAACCTTAACCCCTACAATTAACCAACCACCACTTTCTATAAAACCTACTAGTTTCAAGATTTCTTGAATTAACCCCTTTTGTCCACTAATTTCTCTTCTTCCCCACTATCTCCAGTGTGGTTCAAGTCAATATCCTCTGTGACACAGCCCCTCCAACCTGCGTAAAATGTCAAACCTACACAAAAATAATGTTTAAAATGTTTAAAAACTTAAGCTGAACATGTCATTCCCTTGTTTCAATGACTCTTCATAGTATTCTTAGAACAAAGTCAAAAAACTACAAACTCTCCAGGATACTGTCCAGGGATTTCAAATTCAACAAACAGGTAAAATACTGATTTATTATATTTATGCATTTGATACCTTAATTGAGTGGCAGAAAGTGGACAGCACATGCCCCTTTAATGGAGCAGCTGCTACCAGATTCTAGCTGAATGGTTCTACCTGAAAATACAGATTTTGGTGTTGCCTGGTTCTCTTAATTTTTTAAAAGAAATCAGAAATCCTGAATATGACATAAAATCTCCTCATCTGTAAATGCTGACAACCAATTCAAATTTCTGTAACAATGATGAGGTGCAAAGAACCTGTATGCAAGACAAATCCAACGTCTTAGCTAGTCTCATCATCTGATTCCACATTGCTACTTCTCCATCAGCCATACTGTACATTTCTCAGATCCTCAATGACACCAAGTTTTTTACCTTAGGGCTCGCATACCTGGGCTCCACTTGGATCCCTTCTCCCCTCTCTCCAACACTAACCACTTAACTTAGAGACTTTCTATTCGAAGTTTTTGAGCCACTGCTTCCTAAACGAAACCTTCTCTATTCTCACTGCCCTCCACTCCCAGGGCATATGCTAGTCACTGTATTAAGTGCTCTCATTACATTGAGTACAACTTCCTAATACTCTTTACACTTAAAACCAAAATCTATTATCTAATACCTATTATCCCCCCCAGACGGGACCTCCACATAAACAAGGCCTGACAAAAAGGACATGCAATTCAATACACATTTGTTGCTAACTAGTAGTCTGGCTATAAAATGTTTCTTTAGACAATAAAATTCTGGAGTACTTTTGAAATATTAATCAAACTGTACCCAACTTTTCAGAAACATATACACTATTAAAGCAAAGTAAACTCAGAATTAAAATATTCAATTATAATTACTAGTACTAAAAGCTCGCATTTACTGATAATTGACTAACTGCTAGGAACTATATTGAGTGCTCTGCATGTATTATCTATTCAGTACAACCTGTAAAGGAGATGTCACTATCACACAGAGGAAGCAACTTAGGCACAGAAGTCTTAAATTTGCTCAAAGTCACACCTCTGATCAGTGGCAAGCTATTGTATAAATCTATGTAATTGATATCTTACACACCATTAATAAAAATCCTTTATTAAAACCAATCCGACATGTAGCTTTTAACTGCTGTTTATAAGAAGTAACGATTTATGTTCCATTACTTACTAAAGAGAGGTTCCTCATCCCTCTATCCCAGTGACGGCGAACCTGTTAGAGCTTTCAATAATACAATGATAAGATAAATGATCAATATGTATCTTCTAAATTAAAGTTTTTTTAATTCACATCCAAAACAAATATGGTCTTAGTACCAACTCTATAAAAAGGTTATATTTCTGAATTATTTTTAAATTAGCTAATTTTTAAGTACATTAATTAGATGTTTTGCATGTCCATATTTTAAACTTACATTTCATTATTTAATTTAAAATTGATTTCCTTTCCAAAGTCAAAGAATTTTTTTCACTACAAATTATAATTTCAAATACAGTAAAAAAAAAAATCATACTAAGCAAATAAAAAAATATATATGTATAACCACAGGAATACAGAGGTCATACAGAAATCCTTCACTAACTGAACTGTGTGATTCCTCTTTCTAAAACTCAGAAACCAAACAGATTCCAGTAAGTTCTCACATGCATTATTTGCTATGGAAAATTCTTGCTATCTAAAATTCCTAATGTGGCTTTACTAACCACCCTTTGTTATGAGAACTATACAATCATTCTCTCTTCAAACTCATAACTCAGGAGTCTGGGATAGCAAGAATACACATACACATGTTTGTGGGCCACATAAATTTAAGAATTCTTACACTACTTAAGTTGACTTTTATAATCATTCAAATTTTAGATTTTAACTCCCAACTAATTGAGTTTTCTATATAAATATCTTTAATCTAAAAATTAGTCATTTTTTAAAACCTTTTAGACCACATAAAATATAAAGGAACCCATTTAGTATATGACAGTTTCCTACAATAATAATATTAACGCATGGCTGCTGTCAAACAGCTCTCATGCCAGTTTTAAATAACATATTTTCCCACTCAACATAGATTAAATAAACACCACAGGAAATGAGGTTTCAAGGAAAATTACTTCGTTAATTTTAGTAACATTTCACAGATCATAACAGATTCTTCTGGAAGTCACAGTAAACAAAGGGCAAAATTAAAGAAACAAATCTAAAGAGTATAAAAGCTGAAAATGGCAAAAATTCCAAAGCAGTTATAAAAGAATGATATAAAGCGGTATCAGAATTACCTCCTGAGGTTCACCAAAAAGCCAAAGAACCATCAATCCAGTAATGAGTTAAAGAGGCTAAGAAAACATTACCAGGCTGTAGAGCTAATTACAAGCGTGCGCATTTTCCCAAGTAGTCAACTTAGGCTCATATTTAAACCTAAGGTTTTTCAAATCCTCACGCTTCATTAACAGTTAAAACTAATACCAATTAACCATGATTTTTTTCACATATTCAAGGATTATTTTAAGAAATAAAAAGGGTAGGTTTAAATAAAGTAAATTACTTCCCAAACTCTCCTTTTCAAAAACCATATAAATGATTTAAAGGGATTGTAACTAGAGCTTCCATTTCATCCTTCAGTTTTGGTGACCTGAAAAAATGCAAAGTCCTTAACTGACCAGATTCTAACAGCCTAAGGACTGACATGGTTCATCTTAGATTAAAACAAAAAGATCAGAACAAAACTGTAATTTAAAAAAGAACCTAAATCGTATCCACACAATTCACAAAGTGAAAGGCAGGATTCGATGATACCTCTAATAACATTCCATATGGGGCACCAACACACATCCCCTGAAAATAACAAAAATCAGCTTTCTTCCTAATGTTGCTCCTCATATCCTGTTCATGTTTGTCATCCAAAAAACTTCAAGCAAGGCTCACTACTAAGCTTCCAATGACAAGTTGGAGAACGAGAGCCCTTTGACAGCAAACCCTAGCAGCTGTCAAGACCCACGGTAGAGATTTCACAGAGTGGCACAATGACTGAATGCAACACCTTGATGAATATGGGTGCAGCATATGCCACTATTTCTCTACATTAAGTGCTCGTGCCCTCATTACTAACTGTCCCCATCAGCCAACTCTGAACACGTTTCTTCTATGAAAAACGAAGGACCTGAACTTTAGAAGGACTCCACTAGTCCTTCCAGTCCATAGTCTTACTTAGCCAGTTTTGAACTAATATAATTCTTAGGACTAGTACACGTTTCTTTGCTAGAAAGAAAAAGGCAGACAGACAGATTAGATGCAATAACCCTACCGTGCTCTGCTTAATGTTAACACCAAAATTTCTTAAACAGACAAACCTGTGTCTGTGTTCATCAGGTCCATGGATCAGGAAGACTCCAGGGTTTTTCGCCCCTTTGCCTGCATCGACGTGAGGAATCAACACATCTTCTAAGCCCAGATCAAAGCGTTTGTGTTTTGAGGAGTCTGGGAGGAAGAAGAATGCCCCAAAACACAGGGTGATGAAGGCACTAAGGATAAGGAGAAGGATAAACTTCTCAGAAAGTCTCAAGGTAGCCCTGTGATGGGGGAAGGAGGGCGGCCCCAGGTTCAGAGGCGGTATCCTACGTCCAGACAGGGGCAGCAGGGCTGGGGTAGTCATTGTTTAGCCTCTTGGATAGAATACTTTATAAAGTTCTCATCTTATATCAAACGTACAGCACATTGAACCGTTTTCAAAATCTTGGCAAAAGTGGATAAACTCAATGTTTCTCCTCTGGAAGGACTGTTGTGCTTTTTTAGAGGGCACCTCTTTCACTCTCGACAATTACATCCAGAATGGGGGGTGGCCTCCTAAAAGATCGCTAATTTATGTCGTGTGGTATCTTCCTGGCATCTGGCTTTCAGTACCTCAGCAGGTTACGGAAAGTCTCCTGTTCATTCCGAGGCGTACATCCGGCAAGCCAGGCTGCAGAAAAGCTGCAAGGTGGGTTCTTCCATTGCTGCCCCAGAAAGATGCTCAAAAGGGAGCCTGGCGAGATTGGAGTTGTAGGAGAGATTCACTTCGTCTCCTCCGACACCTCTAGTGCACAGTATCTGAGCCTCTGTGGGGGCGAATGCACAGGTCTCCTCAAAAGTCTGAAGCATGGAGGGTCTCCGTCCTCACGGGGAAGCAGAAGCAGAAGCACGCGCAAAGGAGCCGATGAAGCCGTCTGCCGCCCGCGCTTCCCGACGCCGCCCCACGGGCTCCGGGCGGGGATCAGGAGCTGCCCACCGGCCAGCAGACTGAAGGGCAGCCGCGTCCCAAATACCTGCGCTCGCGGCCGCACACACGGTGTCGGGAGCGGAACTTCCTCCCCGGCCTGTGCGGGGGAGGGGAGGCGCGGCCGCCTCCGCCGCCGGCTCCGCCTCCTCCTCCTCCTCCTCAGGGCCGGCTCAGCGAGACCAGGCGTCCGCTCCCCGAGCGAGGCCACCGCTCGCCCCGCCGCGCCCGCCCGCAGTAGCGGAGCCCGCGCGCCGCCGCGGCGTGGGAGGAAGCCGGGCCTCGGCCCTCGGTCCCCGAGCCAAGGGCAGGCGCTCGCTCATTCCTCGCTCCGCCCCGGGAGGCGGGCGGCCGCGAGCGGGGGCAGCCGCACCTCGGGCAGCAGAGGTCGGCGCCGTCTCCTTCCTGCCCGTCCGAGCCGCCTCCCGGAGCTTCGCCGCAGCTCGCGCTAGCGGCGGCAGCGGAAGAGGCGGCGCGGGGTTGCGGCCCAGTCCTCGGCCCCAGTCCCGGCCTCCGTAGGCCCAGGGAGCCAGAACAGCCGCGCGGCCAACAGCCTTTGGCGCGCGCCGGAGCGGCCCGGCTGCGGGAGGGGGCGGCGGGGCGCGGGTGGGCTACCGCCCCGGCTGACGAGTAGGCGTCCCCGGGCGCGGAGTGTGAGGTGCGCGCGCACGCGCGGTCCCGCCGCCCCGCCCCTCCCCTCCCCGCGGCAGCGCCCGGGCCTCGGCAGCTGCGGGCTCGGGGCTCCCGCCGGCCCGTGCCCCACCCCCTCCCGGGGTGTCCTGCTGTGGGCGCCGCCGCCCCCGCCCGGCTGGACTGAGGACTGCCCGCGGCCCAGAGCTTTGCCCCCGCCTGTGGGGTCGGTGACCCGGAGTTGGAGGGAGAGGGAGCGAGGGCTCGGGCGCGAAGGTTTGGCTGGAATCGAGGGTGAACAGAGTCGACGGATTCTGATGGTAAAGGGTCACGTTTGTGTCGCTCTAAGTAGAAGTACTTAGTTACAGACCGAGTTTGGACATCAGGGTCCCAAACTTCTTCCATGCAGTCCAGGCACACGTTGGTGGGCACCTGGGGCTGGATTAATGATAAGAGCGCCAGCCTCGAGCCAATTTCTGTGCTAAAAGTAAAATGGCAACCTTGTCCTTTCAGTTAGCTTCCTTTCTGAGGAATCCAGTTACCCCCGAATGGCAGAAGGCTTCTCAGGATGCAGTTTCTGGAGTACCCGCTCCTGTCATCTTCACACTCTCACCACTGCTGCTTCCATAAAAGACAAGAGATGAATGAGGAGGTGATAAACCCATAGAGAATATACAGTTTAATTCAGGCATTAAAAAACAATGAGTCAATTCCATATGATTGAGGAGAACCTTAAGTCCAATACATACTCTTACATCCAGTTTCCGTTGAGATTATTTTTACTACTCAGTTGTTGTTGCTGATATCCATCTTTACTGATACGGGGAATCGGAGAGGAGGCTTTTAAATGGCAGAGGTAGAAAAAAGCCTTAAAGAGGAAAGAAAATCAAGTCAAGCAAAAATTCTCGTGTTCGATGCCAGAATTCATAATTATATTTCAGCCTACAGAGTTCTAGAATCCCTGCATACCTAACTTCCTACCACAAAAGAAGTCATTGTCATTGACTGCTTCACTAAAAATGTCAGGGCCACCTCTTAGCGTGCCCCTTCCAAAGTGTGATTTGTGTTGGACACTTGTGAAGAGTAGATCTAAGAAACTCCCTGCCTTCCTAATGTGTCTCTAAAATATGCCAGTTTTGTGAATGTGCCTCTAATATTGAGACTCTGAGCCAAAGAAAAAAGGCACTTCATACTTACTGTCCAGGTCAGTATTTTCTATGAGAAGTTCAAGGAAAATTCTTACTGAGGGAAAGAGCAAGTTACAAAAGTAAATATTACTTGGTCTGAGGCCAAATTTTTAACCATAAGAGGTAGCAATCATGAAACTTGTCATGGGGGTGGAGATTTAGCTCAGTGGTTCCTCCTCCTGCCTCGCAAGCACAAGGTCCCAAGTTCGATCCCGGGTACCAAAAAAAAAAAACCCCAAAACCTGCCATAGCTATTTGACAAACATAACATCATCAGTTCACTCTCATAGCTGCTGGGGAAAGCTATACATTTTTCTTGCCCTTGCTCGTTTTGCAAAATTCATTTTTCCTTCATAAAAGTAAAAGCATCATTTAAGAGATCATTACAGAAGTGCAGTCTGCAATTCTAAGGCCATTGATAATGCCATCAGTTATTATATGCTTACACTAGCATCAAAACAATTTTATGTACATGTTTCTAGACAAAAGGCTGAGTTTAAAGAATCAGTACTGGTTTAAAAGCAGCAAGTTGCAAATTTAGTAATTATGATTACAAGTATATAAAAATATGCATAGTAAAAAGATTTGAAAATGATTATAGCTGCTAAAGATGTTGGTATTACATAGGATTTTCTGAACGTGTTCTATTGGTATTGCATTTATAATTAAATACATGAAAAATGGATAAAGAGACTGCTACTGTTTTATTTTATTTTTTGGTGCTGGGGATCAAACTCAGGTCCTTGTGCTTGCGGGGCAGGCGGTGGAACCACTGAGCTGAATCCCGGGCCCAGACTGGTACTTTAAAAAGTTAAGGTCAAATTTCAATTTCATATCAAAGTGAAAGCGCAGACTGGCCCATCTGATCGCAATCAGCAGAAAGAAGAGAGAGAGTGTGTGTGTGTGTGTGTGTGTGTGTTCACGCGCATGTGTGTAATAACATAACACAGGAGGATTCATTTCATAGTGAGGCTTCGATCAAAGATATAGACAAGATCCCAAAATGCCCGATAAAGTGGTGATTTCTCTTTTACAAATCCATATAAATTAATATATTAGGAGATTTTAAATTATTAATTATTAATGAAATAAAACTTGATCCTACAGATTTCAGACATATAGGTCCACTCCAGAGATCCACTCATATATTGCAGTGTAAAAGTTACTTGTATTTGTTTAATTATATTTGACATTTCCTTCATTATACACACACACATACGCACACATTGCTAACTGTTTTAAGTGAAATTAAAGTTACATACTGGAGGAGAAACATACAGGTTTACATAACCTGTTCCTTCATAGTTTCAGCTCATTCCCGAAGTACCCATGGAAGATGTTAGAGGATAAACTACCAGATATGACCACTGAATGTACAGAGAAATATCCAGGCTTTGGGCCCTGCTCTTTCCACTCTTGATTTCCTCAAAGGTGAGAAACAATTTGTAGTTGAAAGCCATGAAATTCTAAAGTTAGCTGCATGAAAGTCAGCAAAGTCACAAAAAGCTTAGGCTGCCTCTCTGAGGCAAAGTACTTGTTCCTTTGCTTCTAAGAAATGCATTTATTGAAAGCTACTGTGCGAGTCCCTTCTAAGTGCTAGATATATGGAGAAAAAAGACTCATCATGCTCAGTAAGCTTGCTGTCTGTTGTGGGGAAATGGATGAACACTAAAAATTATAAAACAGGGCTGGGGATTTAGCTCAGTGGTTTCGCCGCCTGCTGCATAAGCACAAGGACCCAAGTTCGATCCCCGGTACCAAAAAAAAAATTTTAAGACAGAGGAAGAATGCTGTTAGCATAAAGTGCCAGGGACCTGTGAGAACAATGACAGGGCACTAGAGTGAGAAGAGGTGGATGGCGAATTGGCCAGGGGAACTTCCTGCATCAAGCCTCATGTGAGCTGAAAGAGGAGAGAAAGGTTGTGTTCCAACCCAGGGAGCAGAACATACATAGGCCTATAGCTATTTTTTCCTGTCACTTATCCAGAATCCTTCTTGTTTTACTCTTCTAATCAATAGATTACCTGGCCCTGATCACCTATGATCTCATGCTGGGGAAGTGAAAAAGCACAGAGGGTGGGGTGGGGATGCTGTTGCCTACATTACAAGTAAAATAGGCTCAGAATGACTACTGAGTATTGTAAACATTTTCTATAATCAAAAAACTTAGATGGTATTCTTGCTTTTACAGGCAGTACTGTTATGTCAGGCAAATATTTTACCTCTAAGTCCATTAATAAAATGGGGCTCTTCATTGATGTGTAAGAGGTACTGTGCATTATAGACAGAGTCCTAAAGAAATACTCACAGATTTCAAACCTAGCTCCATCCTTTACTGAGTTTTCCTATTTTTAAAATGTGTTGTAACCTGTAAAACATGTTGTAACCTCAAATGAGTTGTATCTAAAACACTAAAAATTGTTAGCTGTATTCAAAATAATAGATTGCTTTATGGTTACAGTATTTGTATGAATGGAGACATGAGTGTGCCTATAATTCCTTTAGAAAACTACCTTTCCCATCTTAGTCTATAGATCTACATTGGGATGCCTACTAATGAAGCAAAGAAAAGATACAAGACACTGAAAGAGAAAATATCCACATACCCTCATTCAAATGCTTGGCTCAGGGGTGGTTCTGGTTTCTTTTGGGGGACAGGGAATACAAAAGCATCTAGGGATTCATTTCTAGCCCACAAGGCACTCAGAGGCCACTATAGCCATGGTTTAAGCAGGACCAGGTACAGTCACACTGTGACAGTAGACAGTGTCATCCATGCTGTGCTAGTTTTGCAGGCCTATGAAACACAAGGGTTATCGGGTCATGTGTGTTGCCCTGAGGCATTAAAAGAAAGCCTGAGAGGTAAGGCAGTGTGTAACAGGATCAGAATCCTTGCAAGCAGCAACCAACAGGCAATGTGTGGAGCTGTAAGAGTCAAGCCAAAGCTGCATTGGATACCCCAAGAAGACAAGAGATGACAGCAGTGTAGGAAGTCCGCTGATAAACTGCAGGCAGGAGGTAAAAACCAGCCTAAGAAGAGTGACTCTGTGGGCTGAAAGTAGTAAAGCCATGGGAGTGTGGGTGCCCAAGCCTTCAGGCATCTGTATCCCACCACCATGTGCTCCTGATGCTGGACATGGAGCTACATTTGCCCTACTCAGTTTCAGTCTTGCTTTGGTCTGATCCTCTTGGTATTTTTGTGTTCCTCCATTTGGAATGGGAATATTTACCCTCTGTAATTTTTATCTTGGAAGTTTGTAGCTTGTTCTTTTGATCTTTATAGGAGCTCATAGCTATAATTGCCTTGATTTCAGAGGACACTTTGGATTTCAACTTTTTAGCAGTGCTGGAATAGGTAAGATGTCAGAAACTCTTGGTGATGAACTGAATGCATTTTGCACTGTGAAATGGACATGGGCTTTGGGGGGCCGGGGCAGAATTCTATAATTTGGATCTGGAATGTCCCCCAAAGACCCACATGTTAAAGGCTAGTTCCTCAGCCCATGGCACTGTTGGGAAGTGGTGGAAACTTGAAGAGGTGGGACCTAATGGGAGGTCTTTAGGTCATTAGGGGTGTGCCCTCGAAGGGGCTTTTAGGACCCCAGTCACTTCTTTTTCTCTTTCATTCCCTGCCCCTGAGGAGAGTGGTTTGGCTCCACTGTGGTCCCTACCATTGCTATCCAGCACCTCCACCAGAGGGACTATAGGCAATGCATTTGCCTGGTCATGGACTAGAGCTTCTAATCTGTGAGCCAGAATAAATCTTTTCTCTTTATAACTTGATTTTCTCAGGTTCTTGATATATATATATATATATATGGAGAGAGAGATATCAGGTATTGTCTTAGAAAGCTAACATAGTTATACAAGTCTATTAATTTTTTTTCCAGCTGGAATTCGTTTCTGCAGCTTGCAACCAAGAGTGTTCACTAATATACAATGTGTCTTTACATGAGCATCCTGGGGCTGCCACTAGTATATGAACCATCAATAGTTTTACAAGTGTAAAGGATCAGGAACCAGAAGTAACACAGTCTTTCAGGTGACTAACAGGCTTGTGCCAGGGACATAAGCAGGGTGGACAATAGAGGACAACTGTTTCCGTAGGCAGCCGGGGAAGAAAAATCTAAAATTGAAAAATAATAATCAAAAGTAACAGCAGATGTATTGAGTCTAGCCACCCCTACAGACACTTTCAGAATTGGATATTCATTTCTACCTTTATAGAGAGAAATGTGATGCCAAAAGAGGTTAAGGATTCTTTATAAATCCTGACATTAAAGTTGTTCAAATCCACCAGGGGCAGCAAGCTTGAGAATATGTTTCATTGATTTATTTTATTCATTAACTATTATTGAGCAACCACTCTCTGCCAGGTACTATACTGTGTTCTAGGCATCAAAGATGAATAAAATATAAGAGGCAGCTGCATATGATGTAAAAAACATGGGCTGTAGAGCTAGAGACACTTGGGCCTAAACTTGCATCCACCTTTTGTCTGTGTGGTCTTGAAAGCACTGGAACTCTTCCCTGTCCTGTTTCCTCATCCATAAAATTAGTATGTAGACCTCATACCATTTTTATAAAGATTAAATGAGATAATTTATAGTGCTTCTCCCATGGTTGGGATTTACTAAATATTAACCATTATTTTATTATAGGCACCAGATGAGTAGGCGATGCCAGGAGAAAAAAGGTGGGAAGAGACTTTGAGAAGACTTAGAGGAAGGAGAAAGTCCACAGCATTTGTTAAGGGAACCTGGCCCTATGTTTTCCTGGGAATTTCTACTGGAGTACTACTTCTGGCTTCTTGTACCATTGTTTGTCTTACTCAAGAGTTAGTTGACCAGTGAACTTAGTTATATTCATTAGCTCAAAGTTCTTGACTGAGTCGAGCTAATCTAGCAAAAAATCCCTAATTACTGTGATTCATTCTCTTTTTTCCGTTTCTGACCTAGACTTGGGTAGACATACTTGGGTAAACGTGTTTGCTCTGTAGGCCAGTGTTCCCCTTTTGGTGGCCTATTCTCAGGGTAGATTCTTTAGGGGTTGAGAGTGAGCAGAATGTTGCCAACCCCTTTGGGTTATATAGATCAAGAACCCTTTATTAGCCTATCTGTAATAAAGTTGACCTTAAAAAAATCTTCATTTGACTGTCTTCTATGTCTTATTCCACTCAAACTTGGTGAGTGAGAGAAGGACATGCAATTCATTGACCCTCTGGAAACTAAAATTGTTCATATGGCTAGAACATGGATTACGAGGGAAGGATAGTGAAGGATATACAGAAACATTTCTGCTCAAGGTTGTGCAATAAGGTCATGTTTTATCTACTCCCTTTCTTCCACACAAAAAGCAATGATGGCTAAAATGTAGAACGAGAAAACCAAAAGACATAAGCAGGATCAGAAACAATAAATATTTTCTTGGATCAGAAATGGAACTGAAACAAAAAGCACTTAATGGGCTGAAACACAAGCCCACTAGGTTCTCAAGTTCAAACTACAAGACTTTTGTTTCCCCCAAGGTGACAAACACTAACGATGCTTAAGACAAGGTGGAGGATGGAAGCTAGACTTAGTGCTTAAAGCCAGGCGCTCATGAAAGGAGACTGAAAATAACTGCTGCCACCCACTGCCTAGGAAAGCACAAGAACAAAGACTCAGCCTTGGAACAAGGAAGCACGTCAAGCATTTGGCCACATGACTGGTTCCCCAACATCACTGTAGGGTAGGAGCATCAAAATGCCAACCTTACACCTGATTGTAGAAAGGAGGTCTGGAGAGGCAAGTGGAGATAAAAATCACTAGGTGAACACAGATTGAGAGAATAAAATAAATGAGCTGAAATAAAACAGAAAAAAAGGCACATAGAAACTTCCACATCAAAATGAGCCTACTCACCAGGTTCCAAACACATAAAAATATCTAATACTAAAACATACAACAGGATGAGCACTCAGAACATGAATTTACTCCAAATAAAACTAACCATGAAACTGTCTGACAACGATGTTTAAAAGTATTTTTGCTTTCTCAAAGCGATGATGAAGGAATAGTACTCATTGTAAAGGGTCAGGAAATTAGAGAACTCAGGCCAAACAAAGAACAGGTAAATATGAAAAAGAACTAGTAAAAGTCTTAGATAATAAAAATATGGTCATTGAAATGAAAAGATCTCAGAAGCTACCCAAATTTGAAGAGAAAAAGTAGTGAATTAAATGGATGTACTGAGGGATTCACACAGGAGAGTTTATAAAAATAAAGACATTTTCAAATATGGAAGAAAGGTTCAGATACATGTTGTTGTGTTAAATGGCCTTGCATATATCTAAGAGGAGTTTACAAGGAAAAACAGGAAGATTAGAAACACTATACTTAAAAAAAGAAAGGCTGGAAATTTTCTAATGAAAATACCAGAATATCGTGTGTTCTGAGCCCATAGATAAAGGCAAACTAACACTTATGTCATAGAGAAACTATAAAACAATAAGGGAAAAATAAAATCTCAAGATATCATAGGGAAAATATTGATTAGCTACAAAGGAACTATATCTAGATTTCTCAAAAGCAAAAATAGGAACAGGAAGACAATTGAATGATACCTTAGAAGTGCTCAGGGAACGCTATCCACCAAGAATTTGATTTCCAAATAAACCGTCATTTAATGGAGAAGGTAAAACAGATACTTTCAATAATAAACAACTAAGACAGTTTACCGCCCACGGGCCCGTACCAAAAGAACTACTAAAGGAAAATAAATAAGCACAGAGGGAAAGCCCAGGATACAAGAGATACTGGTGAGATTAGAAATTGATATAGTATGTGGTGGGATTAAAAATAATATGACTTTTTGTGTTTAAAAAATGGAAGCAATATTAAATGGGATGTGAGCAAACTGAAGCCCTTGTCATGTTTGGGAGAGAGCTAAAATAATGGCTTTGTCTGAATACTTTGTGTTTAAGATAATTTATATTAATAAAAATCTAACCCAGAGTTTCTAAATCAGCAGATAGAGAAGCATGGCCAAGGGTTGGTGAGATTTAATGTAAAAAACTGGTAATTTGATCAAAAAAGCAGAATAAGGAAAATAAACATACAGAAAACAAAATACATAAAAAGAATAGTACAATGAAGTCCAAATATGTATTAGGACAATAACTAAACAGATTTCTTAAATTTTTTTTCCAAGACAGCATCTCACTGTGAAGAGCAAGCTGCTTTCAATCCTCTACCCTCCACCTCCAAGTGCTGGGATTACAGGCGTGTACAACTACACCCAACTTAAGTTGTTTTTTTAAAGAGAAATTATAGGCTTGATTTTAAAATAATAAGTATATAATATTGGAAAGAGACACAAAATTGAAGCACAGTAAGACAATATAATGACAGTTATCAAAATACTAATAGATGATGAAACATTGCTAATACCTGTTAAAAGTAGTCTCTTAACCAAATGTAGAAATAAAGAAGGTAACTACCAAAGAAATTTAGTGTACCTAACAATTCTAGAAAGGAGAATTACTACAATTGCAAAGTGATATCAACAAGCTCACCATAAGACCAGGAAATTTTAGCAATCAGAAACAGAAAAAAAGAAAAAAAGAAAAAGAAGCAATGGAGATTGGATCATGAATGACCTGTAGGGAGGCCACATTAACTAGCTGAGTTTTATTCTAAGAGCAGTAAGAAGCCATTAAAGGATTCTAAGCAGAAGGATGATTAGAAAACATATCCATTTTTAGAAAGATCACTGACTATAAAATGCAGAATGGATGTCAGGGTGGTCAGACTATATACAGGCAGAGACCAGTTAGAAACTTCACCAAAGAGCAGGGTTATATTAACATAGTAGCATCATTGGTAAGGAAAATGAACAGGCATTTAAAGAGGCAGTCAGCACAGTTGATTGGATGGCAGGAGAGGGCATCAAAGACAGCATTCATATTCCTGTGTTAGACAACTTGATACAAGTCAATAAGGCAGACAAGTAGGTTTTTGGGGAGAAGATACTATTTCCATCTTCTGATTATACCAGTTGAACCTCCCCTCTCCTCAAGCCTGTCTCTGCTCATTCTTCTCCATCTGCACTGCCTTCCTTCTCCAAGGAGCTCAGAGAATCATAGGCCACCCAAAGTTTCAGTCACTGAAATACATTAAGTAAGTCAGGTGGAACCTGAAGGAATGGACAAAAGATTCACTCTAGGGTGAGGACTCAAGAAGTCCTACCCCGTGAGGAGGTCTCCATGGAAGGAAACAAACCTCCTCCCTACAGCCATGTGCCTGGGCATCTTAGAAGCAGAGCCTTCGGATGACTGCAGTCCCGCTAGCATCTTGACTGCACCACCATGAGAAACCTCGGGCCAGAACCACTCAGCTCTGCTGCTACCAAATTCCTCACCTATAGAAACTATGTGAGACAGTGTTTATGGCTGGTTTAAACTGCTAAGTTTGGGAGTAATTTGTTATGCAGCAATGGAAAATGAGTATAGTGAAGAACCCTCAATTTTGACCTTCATTAAAAATTTAAATTATATTGTGGGCTGGGAGTGTAGCTCAGTGGTAGAATGGTTGCCAAGCATGTATGAAGCCCTGAGTTCAATCCCTAGTAGAACACACACACACACACACACACACACACACACACAAAATCAGAAAATATTACTTATGCGATTCCTCAGTAATGCAGAAGAAATCACACTTTAACCGTGCCAGAAAAATATGTGTTCTAAATATGCAATTATTTTTCAAATAATAATGATACACCTTTAAAATTATATTTTATGGCAGATTTTCATATATATATATATATAAATGGATTTTCAAACACACATGAATGCTTAACTACTGAAGTAATAAAGTATAGATGACTTTTCTTGGTACACAGCAGCTATTAAGAACAAGTAGATCCAGGGCTAGGGCTGCAGTTCAGTGATAGAGTATGTGAACAGGGCCCTACATTCAATCTCCAACACCAAAAGGACAAAAAAATCAGTTTGGGGGCCAGGGATTTAACTCAGTGGTTTTGCCGCCTGCTGCCCAAGCTCAAGGACCCGAGTTCGATCCCTGGCACCAAAAAAAAAAAAAAAAAATCAGTTTGCCCATGAATTCTAACACTCATAAATTTCATACTATGCAAATGCCTTTCCCTTTCCTTGCATTCCCTCAAATTAATGTTTGACTTTGTAATGTGTGTTTATCCTTCAGAAAACAATGATCTTGTAGTGATGAGGGCTGGGATGTGGGTACATATTATACAAGCAAACTGAGGTATAAATGCGGGAAATTAAGGAGCTATTATTCCAAGGCACTTTACTTAGTAGCTTTAAGCATGAAAAAGATTTAAAGGACTCACAGATTTCCAATTATGAATTTTTAGTTTTTATATTTACTTCACAGCAATTCCAAAATGCAAATGAGATGCAGATTTTAAAGTTTCAAATTTGCTGTGCAATTTCAGCCTAATATGCTACAAATCTGGTTAAAGTTTGAATCCCTAATCCAGAACTGGACTGCTGAAACAGGCACAAAACCTTTGGAACCATTAAATGTAATTTTTTGGAAGTCTGCAGACTGGATATTTCCTGGTAGTAACAGAGCAATAATGAGATGTGTAACTCTAATATTGCCTCTTAAATGATGGCAAGAATGTGTTTAAGAAAGACGAAAACCTTCTTTATGTCTGATTTTTAAAGTTAGCACTTACTTGAGGTCTAATATTACATTAAATTTTTCACTCAAAGTCTGCTATTTATTATGAGCCATTGTCATATAACACCACTTCAGAACATGTCACTTCTTCAACTGCAGCCTTTGCCACTCGAGCAGTGAAAGCAGAATAACAAAGTGGCCTCTTCTCCTTTAGGGCCAGTCATCATATTGTATCATCAAAGCCAAGGCATGATTTGATTATCATCTGCTATACAGGTATCATGTCCTGTTTCCCTGTTAATGTAAGCTAAAGAACAGATGCACTATGCTTTTCGGGTATCTTTCAAAATCATAATAACTTACTGGTTTTAAGTAGCATGGAAAAAAAATTAGATCACATGAATAAAATTATGGCTGTTTATATTTCTAAGCAAATGAAAATGTAATAAAGGTGGTCTGTTTTGTGTTGGTGGT